GATGAGTCAGGTAATACAATAATAATAAGGGACATAGTTTTGATGAGTCAGGTAATTCACCTATTACCGTATAGGTCCTTATCTATCTAACGTACATCTCTAAGATGGGTGTCAAAAAATGTTACATACACTAGAAGTTAAAATAGATGGTGAAGAAAAGAATTAAAAAATAACTTTTCTTTTTAAAAAAGAAAAATTCCGAATTTAGATCATTGTCATGGTTGGGATTGTCGAATTCTTTAATTTTGGATCGAAAATACATCTTTGAGATATATTTTGTTAGGAGACCGCATAAGAATAGTGTGAGTAGGCCCACCAACCAAACACTTTTCCTAATAATAAATGGCTTTCGTACTCCACAAACAGACATACGATAGGATGAACATGCATGCCAACATTGATTGGGCAACACCAGAAATAAGACAAGATAATAGTTTCACTTTACAACTGTCGTTGATTGAAAACCAAAAAGCATGTCTAGAAAATGAATCGGAAAAGGTAAGGTTCTTCTAAGTTAATGACTACATCAAACCATCTTCCCGTTAAAAAGCTCAAGGAAGCAAGGAGAATTTACTAAAGCCAAAAAAAGGAGTATTTGGCAAGGACTCTTGTCCCCTCACCAATGGAATTCCATATATGCTGCTTTCATCATGAACTGGGCTTGTAGCTTCTTCCAAGTTATAAGATGCATGCCCTCCCTTGCCAATTGAAATTCCTTGCTTCACAAATTTCGGAACACAATTTAAGTAGCAATGATCTACAATGATCAAACACTCCATATTAGGACAACACCTTATTGATTTTTTCATCTTTTCACCTGGCTGAATTAGAAGAACTCAAATTATAGATCTAGTAATTGCATGGCAAGACGGACATCAGCATAAAACAGAAAAACCAATATATAATGATGATGATCATCATCCATCAAAGCTTTTTTCCAACTAATTGAAGTTGGCTACATATATCCACCATTTTGCTCTATCAATGACTATACATTCAGTGAGGCCATGAACCTCCATATCTTTCCTCATATATATAATGTTAAATTATATAAATGAAAAATACCGCAAAAGAGAAAGGGACAACAAAATACTTATTCAACTGACAATTGAGATCAACCGTCGTTGGAAAAACAGGCACAAAAGGTGAAGTAGAATGACCTAATCGAGGAGGAGGGCAACATCTATCCACCTAGGAGGAAAACCAAACCAAGAGCTGACATTCTACCACAATGAATCAACTGGCAATTGAGACAAACCATCGTTGGTAAAACAGGCACAAAAGGTGAAGTAGAATGACCTAATTGAGAAGGAGGGCAACATCTATCCACCTTGGCGGAAAACCAAACCAAGAGCTGACATTCTACCACAATGAAATGAGTGCCACCTAAATGAATCCAATATAAGTAGTAAGAGGTTTCACGACAAATAGAAAAAGATCATTTCCTAGTTGTCTCATTAATAAACCCTTGGCTACATGAATACATGACGGTAAGTGACTATGGTCAGTAGTTCCCTCATATGGTTAAGTGTGAAAATATTTTCACACCAATTAACTACCAATTGATGTGAAAAGATATATTACGACCAATTGGTGTGAAAATATTCCCATACCTAATCATGTGAAGTAATTCTTTCACATAAAAATATTTCATGAGAAATATTTTCACATGAAACAAACGTGCCCTGAATCTTTGTGATGCTTTGGATTATTATGGGTTTAGGGGAAAATGGCCACTTATTTCAAGTCGAAAGGGCAAAACATGTCAAGATGGGTTTCACCTCTCTAATGGAATGACTTAGGGTGGTGCTACTTTCCATCCGATAACTTGTCCTATTGTACTCATTCCCACCCACGTCCATTAAATCAATAAATTGAGAGGAAAAAACAATTCCATTCATTAAATCATTCCCCAGTTACCACCCATTTATGGTATCATCGATAGTACCTCTGAGTCTTGATTAAGTCTTGAACTACATTCTCACCAAAAGGTAAAGCCCAAATCCCCATCGACTTACTCTTTTGTCCCTTCTAATAAATTTGTGGGAATGGAGTTGAAGATGAAAAGGATAGCACCACTTGAGGCTTAACTACCGGTCTAGGTTTCCATTCCCACTGACGCATCAAAAAACCATCAACTATTTCTTAAAACGGGTAAGGGCCTGTATTCCCCACGTATCTACCAAAAATTAAAAAATCCATACATGGAACTTCAGTAAGATAAGATGCTTACGAGTGATACAGCTTTCGTAACACCCATTTCCAAAACAAAATCTTCATAATTTGAACTGATACTTGAAAAACTCACTTAAGGAAATTGAAATTTGTATTGAGACTAATAGAGCAACCAGCAATCTGGATCAAATTTACATAGATATCACACCCTCGATAAACCAGACTTAACAAGGGTGAGCCCAAATTATGAAACTACATTTGGGCAATACAAAAGGCCCATAAAATCGAGGGCACAGCTGAACACATGATCAAACAAAAGCTTCTCGTAGCTTTGTGGGTAGCTCAAGATCTGCCTCATATTCACCGAGCGGGGAGAAATAATCGTCCACCATGTCTTGCGACACTTGCTCCAAGCTGGGAGGGTCCCACTGAACTTTTGCAAAATACACAAATTGAATCCCATTAATTTCATTTTCCAAAGAGTGAGAGAGAGAGAGAGAGAGAGAGAGAGAGAGAGACCTTTGGGGCAAAGTCTTTGTCAATTAGGCGTGCCCGAATTCCCTGCATTATTGTTGTGAAGCTCTGAAATCAGTAACTGAATGCATCAGAAACAAAAGAAGTGTATGTCGTATGCGCCTACCTCACAGAAGTCATTGGAGACATGCCTGGACATGGCATGTGCAGATATGCGATACTCACGGATCAGGCATTGGTCCAGGGGCTGATATCTACTTTCACGTATCTAGATACCATTTACAATGTGTGCTCAAATTACAAGAGTCAATTTAGATGTAACAGGCATGAAAACAATTGTTCTGAGAACTCACAGGCACAAGTAGGATTTACTCACAGATTTCAGTGCAACCTTCAAACTTAAAGGTGAAACTTCGTTCAACCTTGTTATCATTTTGTAACACCAATTATCAGACGATCTAGCTGCCTCTGTTTCCTGAACATGCACCTTTATCAATGAATAGCTTGAAAATATAGAATTGATTTAAGTTTATTCGATCTAATGGCTAAAACTGAACTGTCATAAATTTAGTTGAACTGGCTAACACACAGTCTCTTCTTTTTCAGGTAAATTGCCTGTACATCAAGTTGATAACAAGCATGCCGGAAAATTCTTACCAGAGCGTCTAAAATTTCCTCGACCGTGTCATGGCAAAAGCACTTGTCAACCATGTCAATCCTGAACAGAACAGGAAAAGCAAATAAGGGTTGCTACCTAAAAGGTCTGAACCTAAATTCTTATTTTCTATACTAACTTCTAATTATTAAAAAATAAACATTTTCAAGTCTATGCATCCTGATATAGACATAAAGCCTAATACTACCACAAATGAAACACGAGAATGGATTGGCAGACCAGCATGGAAACTTCCAAACGTGTATTAGTATCATGTAAGTAGCCACCTGCCTAACTGCAGAGCAAACATTATTCATGTTGACTAGATGCCCAAGTGCATAATGCATGTAGACACAAGGAGAAAGTTAGTATGCATTGAAGCCCCCATTACACTCGATTCCTTCCAGAACCTTGCAAAATTAGTCTTCACGCAGAAGTTAACCTAAACATAATCTGATCCTTTGATCACTCATGAAAATAAGTTTTTAAATTATCCCACTTAAGATCCCACAGAAAGAAAGTTCAGCACTTTGTTAGAATTCTTTTTCAGGGACTTCTAGATCTCCAATTTGCAGATTCATTTGGATCAAGCACTCTGCACGTAATCAATCTTCAAGATTTTCTAATAGTAGAATACTGACCAATTGCAACAAGAATTCCAAAATATTTTCTTGAAGTTGTGTTGTATTTATACAAGAAAACCAATTTCATCACTAACTGCAGAATAAACATTCTTCATGTTGAGTAGAAGCCCAAGTGCATAAAGAATGTAGACATGAGGAGAAAGTTAGTATGCATTGAGGCCTCTATTACACTCGATTCCTTCCAAAACCTTCCAAAATTAGTCTTCATGCAGAAGTTAACCCAAACAAAATCTGATCCTTTGATCACTCATGAAAATAAGTTTTTAAATTATCCCACTTAAGTTCCCACAGAAAGAAAGTTCAGCACTTTCTTAGAATTCTTTATCTTCAGGGACTTCTAGATCTCCAATTTGCAGATTCATTTGGATCAAGCACTCTGCACGTAATCAATCTTCAAGATTTTCTAACAGTAGAATACTCTGACTAAGTGCAATAAGAATTCCCAAAATATTTTCTTGAAGTTGTGTTGTATTTATTCAAGAAAACCACATCTCATCACTTACAGCTCTTACCCTGTTAAAGTATATTCTGGTCGACATATTTGATCCTTTGTTTAAAAAACCAGAAATTTACGCAACAGTGTCCCAAGTGAGAAGATAAATAGCCCTAATTCAAATAGAAAAACTAATTATCAAGGAAGCTTAACGGAAGCGAGTATCATCATCATCGTCAAAAGCCTTTTCCCTACTAATTGGGGTCAACTACATGAATCCTGATCCGACACTTTGCTCTATTAAGGGTTATACCTTAGTGAGGCCATGAAAAATAAACAAACAAAACCATTCTATCTAATATGTTCCTCATATGTCTGCTAGAATACCTTGGTCTTTTTTCAGCCCACAGCAGCAGTTTCCATATCGATATAAAATACTCCAGATAATGGCAGATCAGTGTTCCAAAAAGCGGACCGCTAGCGCCTAGGTGGATTTGGGGGCCTAGGTGCATCGCCCAGGCCCAGGCGCCTTAAACAGTGGTCATCCCTGGGCGCCCGCCTAGGCGCCCAGGGCACCGCCTAGGCGGCCGCCCAGGGACTGTGCCCCACCCAGAGGCGGAAAACAGTTTTCAAGTGGCCTGTTTTGTCTTTTTTTCTTATACTAAAGGGCCAAAAATGAGTGTTTTAGGTCCATTTGAAACCTAAAATGTATCGGAACCCATTTTTGAGCGAGAAAGCCCCCCAAAAACAGTTTTTTGGTGATTACTTTAGGATCGAAGGGTTTCTCAAAGTTATGAGAAATTGATCAAAACATCACCTATTGATATTAGATCTAATTTTTGATGTTTTATAAATATATTGGGTGGCTTTTTAGAAGATTTTGAGTCCTTAGAAGCATCTAAAGACTCCGGTATCAGGGGGGATGTTGCCGCATGTAAAAAGACTCCTGATGCTGTTAAAGAGTAAATAACGAATTTTTTGAATATGGTAAAAATAAAAAAATATGAGATTTTCCTCACAGCAGAGATTAGGTCTAAGGTTTAGGTCAATTATGATGATGATAATAGTGATGAGGATGGGATTGGGGAGGGATGTCAAGAGGTAGAAGAATCTATTATTAGGGGAAAGGGAAAGGGAGTTGTAATTGCTTTTGGTTCTGGTTCTGGGAATAAGAAGCCTCGGTTTTGGTTCTGCCAATTTGGACCTGGGATGAAACCTCTAACCCCATATGAGCTTTCAGAACCTCTTTTGAAAACCGTGGTGAGTATCACGAAGGAAGCAGTAGAAGTTAAGAAGGATGCATTGGCTCAGTATGGGGTTTCTATTATGACTGAAGCTTGGAGTGATAGGAAGAGAAGAAGTCAGATGAATTTGATTGTGAATTGTCCTTTAGGGACTGTTTTTTTGAGGTCTATTGATGCCCTGATCATATCCATGATGCCCATTACATATTCCAAGTTATAGAGAAGGGAATCAAGGAAGTTGGGTAGTATCTTGTTGTACAGATTGTCACGGACAATGCTGCTCCTAATGTTGCTGCAGCTAATTTGTTGCACATAGCTTATCCTAAAATCTTTTGGACACTATGTGCAGCACATTGTATAGACCTCATGCTTGAGGCTCTTGGCGGCTTAACCGAGATATCAAGTACAGTGAAGAAGGGAAAGTTAATTACAAATTTCATTTATGGCCACCATCTCACCCTCAGCATGATGCGTAGATTTACAAAGAAGAAAGAGATTGTGAGGCTTGTGGTCACGAGATTTGCAACCTGGTAATTGTTTTTTGAGAACTGTTAACATTTATATTGAAATGAAGGAGAGACATACAAGTAGTTGTCCAGGGAGCCTTTGGGCCCCCGACGAAAAAAAATGGGTCAAAAGACCATATACTTGGGACCTGATAATTATGCCTAGATAGCATACATTCGAGGAGAGTACAGTTGAGGTAGATGTTTACCTTGGATGACTGGAGAGCATGCAAGTGGTCCAAAGATCAGGTTGGGAAGAAGGTGAGAGATATTATCCTTTCTAAGGCTTTTTAGCGAGGGGTGAAGGGCGCTCTTAAGATATTTTTTCCTCTTGTCAAAATCCTTTGCATGGTTGATAATAACAAGCTTTTTATGGACTATATATATGAGGCTATGGAGAAATGCAAAAGAGAGAGAGCCCAAAATTTTGATAATGATGAGAACTATTACAAGCCCGTTTTAGAGATTATTGATGAGAAATGGGATAGGCAGCTACATCAACCATTGCATGCAGCTGGTTATTATTTGAACCTAGCATTTTTTTATGTTTTCAAGGACATACACACAAATGAGTGGATTTAATAAGTGTGTGCAGCTACATCAGCCATTACATGCAGCTGGTTATTATTTGAACCTAGCATTTTTTTATGTTGACAAGGATATACATACAAATGACTGGATTTAATAACTGTGTAGATGTGCTAGTCCCTGATCCAGATATCCAAGATATTATATGCGTTGATAAGTTGATAAATTAGAAGTGCTCATTAAAATCTTTTGGGAGTCCAATGGCGATGCGGCAAATGACCAAAATTGATCCAGGTACTGTGGTAATAATATTCTTAAGTTCATCAAGTTCAAGAATCAAGTTTCATTTTTATAATTCTATTATTTATTTATGATTTTATTCTATATCTTTGCAGCCAATTGGTGGAGCCAACATAGGTCTAGTTCTTCAAATTTACAAAAGTTAAGCCATTCAGATCTTAAACCTAACCACTTCCTCATCCAATTGTGAGAGCAATTGGAGTACTTTTGAATGGGTAAGGCCGTAAGGGTAATTTGTATAATTGTATTAATAATACATGAACCATAGATTTTAATTAGTTTCATTTGCTTTTGTTAGATTCATACAAAGAAAAGGAACATGCTTGAATCAAAGAGGCTCAATGACCTAGTCTATGTCAAGTATAATCGATTCTTGAAGGACAGGTTTGCTAAGAGAGACAAGAGAGACCCCATCAGATCAAAAAATATGGACAATGCTATGGGATGGTTAATTGATGATGATGACGTTGAGGGGCATGGATTGACATGAAACATGGTCATAGATGTTTCGGGGACATCAGCTGACCCTCCAAGGGACACTAGATCTTCTGCACAGAGAATGAAGGTGGAGGAGGAAGAAGAGACAGATTCAGAAGAGACGGAGGAAGACGACCAATATGTCGAGGAGGGTGACGACTCTGATGAATATGATGCCAATGCAGCTGACCGTAATTTTTCTGATGATGAATGATGAATGTTGAATAATTATTAAATTTTGAACTTTGATTGAACGATGAATGATAAATTTTAAGTTTTAATTGGATATGGATTATGGACCGACTTATGGTTATGCTTATGGAGTGTGTGCTAATGTGTAGTATAATTTCAATTCTGATGTGCCCTATATACCTAATTCTTATATTTTATACAATATATAACAGTAGAATCCTTTTTAAATTCAACTGGGCCGCCCAGGTGCTGGGCGGCCTGCACCCCCAAAGCTGCCTAGGACCCGCCTAACGCTTTTTGAAACTGTGGCAGATACAAAATGATAAAAATATGACTGAATAAAGTAAATAATATATATAACACATAACAATGTACGATAACCCACTACAAAATGTTTCAACACGAGCACCAAAGTTTTCCTACGGTAACTTCACATCACCCCAGCCATCAGATGTCAAGAATCGACAGATGCAGGGAAGTTATTGTAGGAAAGTTCACTGTGCTCAATGTATACCAACCCAACATAACATATGTCAAAGTATGGTAAGTCTACAAAAACATATGTAATTCGACATATGTAAATGGTAAATATTGCATGATCTGATATGGGGCTTACAAATAGTTGCTACATCGCACCTCAACTGTTCTTAGTCAACTGGATGGTTGAAATGAACAGTTGTTCCACTCAAGCCCCAATGTCCACTTGGGCAGAGGAAAAGTTGATCTCTCAATCATTTTTCATCACCAAGGGACAACTGAGGTGACATGCAGTTGTTATTTGTAAGCCACATTTACCACACATACATTTCCAATATAACTTATCTAAAATATGACATGAAAATACAATTCCAATATAATTTATCTAAAACATAACATGAAAAACTTCAAAACATATGACTAGAACAAAGAATATAATATATCCAAAATGATATAAGAGGTGTTTTGTTGTTCTCACCCACAATATGTGTGGATATCACGATTGCCAGTAATGTTACCATATTTGGTAATAACAAAAACATGGGTGAAAATAGAGACATCTTATAAATATATTGTTAAAATAGCACATATTTGGCATGTATTCCAAAAACATACCACAAGAGATGTATTATGTGTTCTATCTCTAATGCATATATCATGTATTGCATATTTCATTATGGATTTTATATGATAAATAGAACATGCCTTTAGTCAATGCATCATCTTTAAGTTTTAGATTTCAGAAATGCCAAGCGGCATCCCAGTTCCCCCTAAACTTAGAGAAGACAATAAATACACGTCAAGAAATACTTAAACTGCACACATAATGTGTTTTTTAGCTGAACAATCAAAGGACAATAAATGAGAAAATAATCATTTTTTCACTAGGTCAGATGAGATCAAATCTTATGATCTACTGTAAGCATAAATGATATTCAGCTGATTATTTTCCTTCATCAACATGATCCTGTCAAAGTAAACATTGTGTAATTTTCAGTTTGGAGTTAAAAAGAAAGATGTGAAACAAGAAAAAGATGTATCGCCAATACTGTCCAGAACTGAAACAAGATGTTGAAACTATTCAGGCAAAACACCATACCTGTGAAGCACACTGCTCTTATCAGGATAGACAACGTCACCGTATTGCTCAAGAGATGTTTCAATAATAGAAGGATCATCAGTGATCAACTTACCAAGACGTTCTTCAATCCAGCTTAGCCTCTGTTGAAGTAAAACAATGAGCTATCTCACTAAAGACTGACCATGAGCTATCTCACTATGTACTAAGATAAACAGGAAATAAGTTAGAAATTTAGACTATTTATGGTTCCATGTCTTCATGCAATGCAAATGAGGAACAACACAATTGTCTGAACAGTGATTTGAAAAGGAAAAATATGTTTTTTTCTTGTTTTTCCTTCTGATAGCTAGTGGGGCAAATAAATTGGTAAAAGTTCAGTTGAAGACACAAGAGAACAAACCGCACTGTGTGAGAAGTGTGTTGCAAGGCCACAAGCTATCATTTCTTCTCCACTAAGCTTCTCTCCAGTTAGAGCCAAGTACTCCCCTAAAAGATTCAAAACACAAACATCTGAGAACCACAATCACTCCTTGTTCGAATCAATAATAGAAGCTATCTTGTTCTGTTACTTTTTCTCGGGAAAGGAAATTCATCTTGTCAATTAAGGGAAAAGAAGCGTGGATATGTCTTTTTTAGTGTGTATGTCTATGCATGATGAACTTAATTGGTCATGTAGGGTAGTATAGTAGAGGATATGAAGGAGCACATGGGAGATATGGTTTTGGGAAAAGAAATGGGATGGGCGAGGCTATTCTAGATTTTGTTATGGCTTGAGACCTAGAAATAGCAAACATCTACTTTAAAAAGCGGTTTGAATATATAATAACTTATAAAAGTGATTCATACACAAGCCAGATAGACTTCTTCCTAGTTAAGAAGGTAGATCGGTCATCATATAAGACTACAATCAGGAGAGAGTTTGACCATGAAAAATAGGCTCGTAGTTATGGACGTTTGTATGAAGAGATGGAAGAGGAGTGAAATTAATAGTTATCCAAGAACTACGTGGTGGAACTTAAAAAAGAAGAAAATAGACTTCCTTAGGGATAAATTGGTAAAAGAAGGAAAATAGAACTCTGAACACGAAGTTAATGTTATGTGGAATGAGAAGGCTAATTGAATTAAGAAAGTAGCAAACGAAGTTTTAGAAGAAACTGGAGGGAAAAGAAATTCCGTTAAAAAAACTTAGTAGTGAAGTGATGAGGTACAAAAGGCCATTAGTGAAAAACTATCTTGTTATAAAACTTGACAATGTAATGGAAATGATCAAAACTTCGAAGAATATAAAAATGCTAAGAAGAACACTAAGAAAATAGTAAGGCTAAACTTAAGGCATATAATAATCCATTCAATAAACTAAGGACAAAAGAAGGCGAAAAAGATATCTTCAAACTAGCAAAAATAAGAGATGAAGTGTACGGATCTAGATAATATTAGATGCACATTGCTTCAACAAAAAAAAAAGACAACATTAAAAGCATTAAGAGTGAGGATCAAAGGGTCTTAGTGAAGGATGAGGTTAACAAAGGGTCGAGAATTTATCTTCAAAATTTGTTAAATAATAAACAAAATGGGAGCACAACACTGGGAGGAGCCTTCGGCATAAAAAAGGATGGAGGTCGTAGATACATGCATAGGATTAGGATATCTGAAGTAAAAGAAGCTTTGAGGAGGATCAAGACAAGAAAGGCTTTAAGAACAGATGGTATCCCGATATAAATTTGGAAGTACATGGGGGAGACTGACATACGCTAGCTGACTAGGCTGTGCAACAAGGTGTTGAGAAAAAAGAAAATGTCAGTTGAATGGAGAAAAAGTATTGTGGTACCCATTTACAAGAACAAAGGAGACATATAGAATTGTGTGAACAATCGAGGGATCAAACTTACGAGCCACACTATGACGTTGTAGGAGATAGTGATTGAGCAACGACTAAGGCATGAAACTAGGGTATTAGTAAATTAATTCTGTTTTATGCCAAGGAGGTCAACAATTGAGGCCATTTTCCTACTTAGATAACTGATTGAGAAGTTCACGGAGAAAGGAAAAGACCTCCACATAATCTTTATAGATTTAAAGAAAGCTCATGATAGGGTACCTAGAGATTTAATTTGGAGGGTTTTGGAAAAAGGAGTCACCATATGCTATATTGGCATGATGAGAGATATGTACGAAGGAAAGCTAACTACTGTGCGAACAATTTGTGGAGCAACAAGTGCGTTTCCAGTCACAATAGGTTATAGCCCTACATAAGGGGTCAGTGTTAAGCCCATATCTCTTTGTTCTTATTACGGAAGAGTTAACTAAGCACCTACAAGATGAGGTACTATGGTGTATGTTGTTCGCGGATGACATAGTTTTGATCGATAAGACTAGAAGCAGCGTCAGCACAAAGTTAGAACTTTTGAAGGATGCTCTAGAAACTAAAGGTTTTAAAATTAGTCGGACTAAGATAGTATATATGGAATGCAAGTTTAGTAATAATAGGAGTAGAAACAAAGAAGTAGTTAACATTGATGCCCAAGAAATACGGAAGAGATACCATTTTCAATACCATGAGTCAATAATCGAGAAAATTGGAGAGATTAAGGAAGATGTTGCACCTAGAATTAAAGCTGGATGGGCGAAGTGGAGATGTGCATCCAAAGTTTTATGTAATTGCCGCATACCAATGAAGCTAAAGAAGAAGCTTGATAGGACAGCGGGGAGACCAATTTTGCTTTATAGGATAGAATGTTGGGTGGTCAAGAAACAACATACTCATAGGATGAGTGTAGCTGAGATGGGGATGTTAATGTGGATGAGTGTAAGACAACAAAGGATAAAATTCAAAACGAATACGTTCGAGGGAACTTAGGTGTCGCTTCATAGGTGATAAGATGACGGAAAGTAGACTTAGGTGGACGGGACATGTGCAGTATAGACCCAATACAACACCAGTTAAGAGGTGTGATTTGGTTCAAGTAAAAAGCTCTACAAGGGCAAGAGGAAGGCCCAAGATGACATCGATAAAAGCAGTGAGAAAGATATTGGGGCTTATGGTCTTACTGAGGGTATGGCCCTTGATAGAGCAGAACAGTGAAACATGATTTGTGCAGCCGACCCCAAATAGTTGGGATAAGGCTCTGATGATGATGATGATGATATGTGCATATATGATGCAGGAGCAAATGCTTTATATTTTTTAATTTTTCCCATTAAAATTCACATATTATTTTTTGGGGGGATATTCAGAGTTTGCTTTTCTAGGTTTTAAAATTTTTAGGGATTTTAAGGATTTTTTTAGCTTTCTACGATTTTTAGGAGCTATTTGGAACAACAATTTACTTATGGAATTATTTATTGTATCAAAAATAAAATGTCATTATGAATTTTATGTTTTAAGTTGGGACTATTTAGTCAATTTTATTTTTGGCTAAGGCTATTTTGGACTTTGTACCTCAATTAAATAAAGGTTCATGGGACTTTCATGACTTATTCACGCGAGTTTTAGAGAAGAACGAAAAAACAATATTAAGGTTGGTGAACCCTATCTAGGATTCTGTGGTAGAGAAACCTCATGTTTCTTCGGTTGGTTACTTGTGCTTGGCCTGAATTATTATTGATTTTCCATTCTTCATCGAATTTCCTTTATCCATTAAGTAACAGAGCCAAAAAAAAAGGTAAGTCAGGGGGGATTTGGGTCCCTACCAAGTATCTTTAACGGCAAGGTCGGGGAACTACAACCAAGTCAAGGTTGCTGATTTTGGGCCAAGGTTTGCTGATTTCAGCCAAATTTTTGCGAATTGCAGCCCAGGATTCACCAAATTCAGCCTAGATCTTCCTCACTTCGACTACGTTTAGTCAGTGATTTAAAAAGCATACCTCCCAACGCCTAGGCGGTCCAAAGGGCCAGGGTGCATCGCTCTGCCCTAGGCGATCAAATTAGGGGGATATCCCTAGGAGCCTAGGCGGTCGCCCAGGGCTGCCTGCGCCCTGCCCAGGGGCGGAAATGCCCTTCGTTGAGGGGATTTTTTTAATACTAAAGGGGGCAAGATTGTGGGTTTTAAATTCATTTGAAACCTAAAAACCATTACAGCCTATTTTAGAGAGAGAAAAACCCCACAATTTTTTTCTTTCTACTGGGTCACCCAGGTTCTAGGTGCCCGCCTATACGCTGGGCGGCTTGGACCCCCCTGGCCACCTAGCACTTTTTGAAACAATGGGTTTAGTTGATTCTCTGCCTGGGGTTTGTAATTTTGATGAACTTATGGCATTGAGAAGGGGCCGTAGAAGGGGTCGTAGAACCACTTCGTGATCCCAGAGATGAAGAGATTGAAGACCTCAAGAGGCAAGTTCAGCAACTTACCCAACAGTTTGTAAGTATCGATTGTGGACAAAACGGTGATCTTTTGGCCCAAGAAGATCTTGAGTACAACCCTTTTCACTATAATGTTCCGCGTGTGGAGTCAACTGATGATGACAACAACCAAAGGCCTAAACATGGGATGCATCACTCTAGGGATGTCAATTTGAAGGTCGATATACCTGATTTTGATGGTAAGCCTCAACCCGAGGAGTTTATAGACTGGTTAAATATTGTAGAAAGTGTTTTTTATTACAAGAAGGTTCCCAAAAATAAAAAAGCAAAAACTATTGCCACAGAATCAAAGAAAGGTTCATCGGCATGGTGGGAACGACTTAGGCTAGAAGGAGAAAATGAATCTTAGAATGAATAATCTTCATCAAAGAGAAGAGAGTGTAGAAGAGTGCATCGATGAATTTCTTCAGTCGATAGCTTGGAGTGATGTGGTAGAAAGACAGGAACAATGCCTACCTCACTATATAGGTGGCGGAGACCATCTATACAAGATGTTGGGTGAACTGCAACATTTCTGGACTTTAGATGAAGCTTAAAACCTTGCAGTTAAGGTTGAAGCTCAGAAAAGGCATCCATCATGAAGGTGGGATGCACCCCAGGGCGGTACAAGTGGCCGTGGAACCATTTTAGAGGAAAAAGTGGGAATTTGGTGGCTGGACAGACCTCACGACCTGCTGGTTCATCCAAACAGCAGTATGCTGTGAGTGTTGGGGGCAGTTCTAGTCACATGAATCGCTCAAACAACAATGTTATTAAGTGCTTTAATTGTGTTATTAAGTGCTTTGAGTGTTCAAGAATCTAACACATCTGTTCTTATTGCCCGAATAAAAAACTTGTGAAGCTTGCTGAAGAGTTTCTTGAAGAGGACAGCAAGCTAGCATTTCACAGAGACTCTATTTATGATAAGAAACCTTTTGATGGAGTCAGTGATCTTGTCTTTGATAGTGATCCCATCTTTGATAAAGGTCCTATTCTTGATGATGATTTGGTGAGTGATATCTGTGAAAAATAGTAGGATGAAGAACTCCAAGGACAATCAATAGGTGAGGTTGCTTTTTTGGTCATCGAATCGAGTGCTCATCATGAAGATGCTCTCTTGGTTTGTTCTTGGGTTGAACCAAGTGTA